TACGTCAGTCCTGCTGCTTACTTTCCACTAATTCGGCAGCACATCCCTGTGTAGGGCACTAGAGCACGTGGAGGGCTGCTGGAGTCGACCGCTAGAGCAGGCTCTCTTCCTCTGAGCATTGTGGGCCTGATGATTCTTCCTTGTAGGGGTCTGTCCTGTGCATGGCACCACCCTCCAGGGGTCAGCACCTCCTCCTGTATGACAAACTTCAGTGCCCGAACTTCCAAGCACCCTTGGCACTGAAGTTTGAGAATTCGGGAGTGCCCCCATTACTGTCTCTCCTGGCTGTTTTTTGTTTTGTTTTGTTTAGAGAGATTTTTACTGATAGGGCATGCATGCTTACTGGAGAGACAAAGAGACAGAAAGTGAGAAGTCATCCCCCAGGGAAATGGCCATGCCACACTCCCTTCTCCTCCATTTTCCTCTTAGGATTTTGGGCAGACACGTGCCCGGCGTGAGTTTTAAGCTGCTGGATTGGAACCTGAACCACAGTCGACTACATAGGAGTCCAGCGACGTAACCATTACGCCATCTGCTGGTCCCTCTCCTTACTGTTGAACAGGGGTTGTCTTTATTGTGTAGTGCATCACAGAGTACAATTTCGTCACATCTCCTCCCTGCCTCCCACTAGAGTTAAGAAGACATAGATAGGAATGAAAGAAAGTCATTATGAAAATCAGCATGGGTCCTCAAAATCAGAACCCTTCCCCTCTCCCAAAAATGTCAAGCCAGAAATTATGAGAGGTCTCATAAAGTTTATGGAAAATGTGTATTGCTGAAAAAATACATGGATTTAGAATTAAATTCATACTTTTGTTTAGAGAGATTTTTTGTTATAGGGTACATGCACTCTCCATAGAGATAGAAGTGAGAAATCTTCCCCGGGGAGGATGGCCACTCTGCAGTCCTTTCTCCTCTATTCTCCTCTCGGAATCTTGGGCATGCCCTCCCGTGCACCCAGCGTGAGTTTCAAGTTGCCAGGTCCAGGACTCGAAGTCAGCCATGTGAGAGTCCAGCAACATAACCATCACGCCATCTGCTGGTCCCTAAATTCATACTTTTAATTCCATTTTTCCAACTACATTCTGAAGTCCCCTCACATTGTTAAGAGCAAGCAAAGATGATTTCTAGAAATAGCAATCCAGAGATTTGATTGGGTAGAGAGAACGTGTACTTGAATCTCAGGTTGGAAATCAGATGGCCTGAGTAAGGACTGTACGGAATTAGGAGACTTCAGAACCGTGCTGTGCTCCCCAGGGGAATGGCAGCACCCAGTTTCTGGTGTCCTAGTGCTACGAGAGCCATAACAGCCATGGGAGCCACCTTTTTGTTTTGGTTTTTGTTGAAACAGTATTAGAAGCCATAAAAACTACATAGGGAAGGAAGTACATGATAAAAAGTACTTTCTAAAAAGTGAATAAAAAAAATATTTAGGGGAATTTAGCGTAATGGCTATGTCACGGGACTCCCACGTAGTTGACCGTGGTTCGTGTCCCGGACCCGGTGGCTTAAAACTCACGCTGGGCGTGTGTGTGTGCGTGCCCAAGATCCCGAGAGGAGAATGGAGGAGAAGGGATTGTGGCGTGACCATCCCCTCTGTGGGGTGATTTCTCGCTTTCGGTCTCTCTGTCTGTCTCTGTCTGCCTGGCGAGAGCGCGTGCCCTATAGCGAAAACCTCTCAAAAAAAAAAATTTAGGAACTATTTTTATTTTAACTTATTTATTTATTTATTTAAATTTGACCAGAGAGGGACAGAGAAAGTGAGAAAGCAAGCAAGTTGCCAGGTCTAGGACTCGAACCATGGTCGGCCATGTGGGAGTCCAACACCCTTAACCACCACACCACCTGCTGACCCTGAATTTTGTTTTGTTTTAAGTTGCCACAGGGTGCTTGTGCTTGCCAGAGAGAGAGCAAAAGCACCCTCTGGGGGAATGACCACACTGCAGTCCCCCTCTGTTCTCGAGATTCTCGGGACTGTAGGCATGCAAACACAGGTGTGTGTCCCAAGCCACTGAGTCTGGGACTCGTGGGATCCAGCCACCCTAACACCATAACCACCTGGCTGGCCTGAAAAATACCTTTCTGTACTCTACCCCAAAGACCTTTTGTGGAGACAGTTAGGAATAGGTTTCTGTTATTTTTTAAAATTGCCAGCATGTGTGCGTGTACTCGTCAGAGAGGGAGAGTGCACCTCCCCCGTGGGCATAGGCATTCTTCAGTCCCTTCTCCATTTCTCCATCCGGTAAGGATTTGGGGCATGCATGCACATGTGCTCAGTGTGTTTTTCAAGCTGTCAGTGCCAGGATTTGAACTGTGATTGGCAGTGTGAGATCTGACTTAACTAATCACTAAGCTACAGGGCTAGCTGGACAACTAGTTTGAGAACCGTTTCTTATGGGGATAAGGAAGCCCAGGGAAAAAAATTCTTTCAGCAGTTGACTACACTAAAACTAAGGACCAGGCAAGTTACTATGTGGGAGATGTATCAGCCATCAAAAGTCAGACACAATTTCTCCTATCCTGTCACTCATCCATCAGCATAGAAAACTTTTGTGGCCTCAAACATGTAAGTTGCTCCCCACCAGGAAGGAAGCAGTCAGTTGTGCAGATCCCAGCTGAAGGTCTTTTATTCAAATTAATTCTGACACTGTCTACCCAGAGACAGCACTAGATCCCACAGATTGAGGGCTCAGTCCCCAGGACTGCCCCTACTTCAGACACCAGTTACAAGTCTCTGCCTTCGTGACTTCTGACTGACCAGGTACAGGTTGGAGTTCCTCCCACAGCCTCTTCAGGCTTGATTAATTTGCTAAAACAACTTAGAGAACTCAGTGAGACACACTGCACATTTACTAATTTATTATACAGGAGACATGGAGTATATTGAACGTTTTTTTCTTTTTAACTGCCAGAGGGTATGTGGTCTTGACAGAGGGAGAGAGGGGGAGAAAGCACCCCCAGCCACAATCCCTCTCCATCTCTCCAGCCTGTCAGGATTTTGGGCATGCACACACACCTGGTGTTTTCCAGGCCACCAGTGCTAGGATTTGAACTGGAGTCCACCATGTGGGATTCGGCTGTCTTAACCACTGTCCTGCAGAGGTGGCCCAATTATTCAGGGTATCTTAAAGGATATAAATAAATAGATAAAGAGATACACGGGCCAAAGTCTGGAAGAGTCCCTAATACAAGAGCTCCTGTCCCCAGAGAAGAGGGCGTGCCACTCTCCCAGTCTGTCATTCACCTTGCAAGCCTCCACGTGCTTAGCCTTCTAGATGCTCTCTAAACCCTTTCCTCCTGGGCTTTTCATGAAGACTCCATTGTGTAGTCACGCTCTAAGCATGAACAGCCATGTTACATGTGACTGGACCAAAAGGATCTTACCTAACACATGGAGTGGGGAACTTGCCTCTGATTGTCCTCGGCTTTGTGTGTGTTCCTTCCTCCTGACAGGGCAGGATGCTGGAGCGGGTGTGTGTGTGTGTTTGTGTGTGTGTGTGTGTGTGTGTGTGTGTGTGGTTTCTTCAAGATCACTTCTACGGCCCACCTTGGGAAGCTTCAGAAGCCAAGGGCAGGCTCCTGGTATAACTGTCATGATATCACAGTGGCTGTTCCTCTATATCCTGCTCCACTTTTCTCTGGCATCTCATCTTTCTTTAGCAGAATGTGACATTTGACCTTAGGGAAGCATATCAAGGGAAGAGTTTCTATTCTGTCGTGTTTTTTTTCCCCCCGTGAGAGAACATGAAAGGTGCCTTTCCTCAACCCCTTAGCACTGCGTCATTTCCTCCTTTTCTGGCATGAAAGGAGGAACTACAGGTTCTCTGGGTTTGAATGAGAGCATTGCCATTTCCCGGTTGTATGGCCTCGCTCTGCCTTAGTTCCCTCATGTGTAAGTTTAGGCACGTGGATAGTAATTGCTCAGTAAATGTAGTTGTTACTCTTTGTCGTGAAATATTCTCTGTTCTTTTCAGTGAAGCCTGGTGTTCGATACAGAGAATTGGGAAACATTATTCAGAAGCATGCCCAAGCAAATGGATTTTCAGTTGTCCGAAGCTACTGTGGACATGGGATCCACAAGCTTTTTCATACAGCGCCCAACGTACCCCACTATGCCAGTAAGTATCAGCTGAAGGTCTGCTGCCACTGCCCATTGGGCAAGTACAGAACCTCCTATTTTGTGCTCCTTAGAGGAATCCGTTAGCTTTACAAAGGCTTCCCAAATAGGTATTTGCTCAAACACCACTCCTGTTCATGTCTTGCTCATGGAAGGTGAAAGGTACATGTACTTGGTCACTGTGAGAGCAGGGCAGTTACTTTGTGACTCAGGCTGTCATCTCACTCCTTGGCTTTCAACTTGACTTAGTCAACAGATAGTGTGGGGCCAGGAGGAGAAGCCTGAAGGGGTACACTTGGGAGGCTTTAATGAGTCAGGCCTGGAATTGGCATAAATCATTTATTTTCTATCAGTCACATGGCTGCATCTAACTGCAAGGGAGCTTGGGAAATGTGATCGCTCAGAATACTCTGGAAGTAAAATAAACTGTTGGGTCATTAGAAAAGTCACGGCATATTTTTCTATGCAAAAATGTGTTATGACTTTTCCGACGACCCTGTAATTTGGTGAGCATTCAGTGGCCTGCCACTTGTCTAGCTGCCATTATCCTGATTCCTTGGGAGCAGTCAGTTTATCGCGTTGGGTTTGATCTGCATTCTTAGTATATGTCAGATAGTATTCTGTCAGTATAAACGGGGAGGAAACGGTACCTTTCCTCAGGTGACTGCTCTAAGATGCAATAACCAAAGAAGTGTAAGACAGTGCCTCCCAGAAACCTTTTCTCTGGAGAACTAAGACACGTGCAGGAATGAGTCTGTTATTTAGTGCTAGAAGTCAAAGTTGTCCACAGAAATGACTCAGGAAGGAATTCGACATGCATATACCTGTGCAGAGAGAAGGCCAACCCTCCGCACAGACACTTTAATGTGTCCAGGCTTAAGCGTTCATATCTGCACAGTAGTTGGCAACAGCACCTACCTGAGCGTCCGTGTGGGGGCTGAGTGAGATAATGCATGGAAAGTTCTCACACAGTGCATGAAAACCTAACGTTAGCATATCTGGTCATCACAACTCTGATTGATTTCTTAGCTAGCCCAATTTGTAGAGGCGAATCCTGTACTCGGAGTGTCCGTGTTTGCTCAAGGTCACACAGACTAGTGCCAGAGCCTGTGTCGGTGCCTGGGTTCTGTCTGGCTTTCTGGGTTCAGTCACTTCCCCTGGCTGGTGTGCCCAGGCAGGACTGGAGCTCTCTCGGGCTGGGACCTCTGGGTGCACTAAAGTGTGGCTGAGATTTTGATTCAGGGAGGCGGTGAGAAAGCATTGTAGGTGGCGGGGAGCACAAATGGGTGCTTCCAGCTAAGGTTGAGCAGAAGTGTGCTTGGCTGAGCGTCCGTGCTGAGGGCTAGAAGAAGCGGGCCGACCAGGGTAGGGCACGCTGCACCCAGCCTCTGCCAGGCTCTGCAGTCATGTTTGGCTAAGCTGGTATTTTGGGAAAACGAACTGGCAGTGGCTCAAGGTATGTTGCAGGTGGGAGCTCTTCAGGATAGTTGGCCTGAGAGGCAGTCGTTGCTTTGTGAGTCGGGCGTATCCTCGGCATACTAGTTGTGAAGAGGGAATGAATGAGACAGCTCTGAGCAGGAGAAGCTGCACGGGCGTTCAGAGTAGCCTCCCAAGTGCATCCATCAGTCAGCGGTCACTGGCAGGCCGCCTGGTTCTTTTTATTTGAACTGTGACTCATGTGGAATAAAAGCTAGCAACAGAAAACCAGTGACCTGGACCTTCCTGTCCAGCCCTGTAATCACCTAAGCGTTCACTCAGTTTTAATGGGGTCACTGTTCTGATCACAGTGAGGGGGGTGTGTGTCTACACATTGCACACGTGTGAGAGTGTGTGCAGGGGAGGGAATGAAAAGGCAACAGAACTTGGGTTCAGACCAGGATTGGAGAGAGCTTGTGGCTCTAGACCGTGTGGAGGTAGGGACAGGATGTGCGGCGAGGGCATCAGCCAAACATGGTGTCCCCAGTCATAGGAGACGCTGCCCGTTTCACGTCAAAGCGTTTTTCGTTAGACACGAATGCTGTTCTGAAAGACGAAGCAAGGACGAGGTATACTGTACACACACACACGTGTACACACACACGTGTACACACACACACAATCTTTTTTTCCCAGTTTACCAGAAGGCTCACAGAAGAGAGATGGGCGAGTACGGGGGGACGGTAAGAAAGCACCTTCCACGGGGCACGGTCATACCTTAATCTCTTCTCCGTTTCTCCCTTTCGGGATTTTGGGCATGCACGCACATGCACCTGGTGTGTTTTTCAAGTGCTGACTCCAGGATTTGAACTGTGCCTTTGGCTGTGTGGGCTTCATTTGGCTTAAAGACCATGCCTTTGTCTGGCCCCACTCCCTTTTTTTTTTTTTCCCTTTTTTGTTTTTTTTTT